AGGATGTGCAACTATGACATACAACTATCTACTGGGGCTTTGGGGGGAAAAAAAAAGGAAGAGGATTGGCAATAGATGTTAGCTCAGAGCCGGTCTTCCCCAGCAAAAAGAGGAGGATTAGCATCGATGTTAGCTCAGGGCTGATCTCCCTCACAAAAAAAAAGTCAACTTGGTCTGTTGTGTAAATAGATATCAGACATTGAGAACATGAGTCCTGTAACAAAACTGAATGGCTCCAGACAATATAAAATGTATTATGTAAATATCCTTTAAGAATTGGTTGTTTATTTTCCTACTAAATAATTAGTACAACATATTGGTATTAAATATTTCCCTTGACTAAAACTCCATCATAATTAATATAGATATCAAAATGTCTATTTTTATTCTGAAGCAATATCACCAAATACAGAGGTTACCTAGTCATCCCCCCTCGCAACTCCCCACACCCCCAGCCTCCTTTCCCCACCTTTCTTACACATACACACACACACACACACACACACACACACAATTGACTATCAAATCTAAAATCTTCCAAAATTCTCTGGAGTTATAATATGTATCAAGGCAGCAATTTAGAGCAATTAAAGTATTAATTTAAGAAGGCCAAGAAATCTAGCCAAGTTTGAGGCACTTAAATACAACGATGAACATAGAAATGGCAAAGAATTTTTGCTAGTAGTTTCCAAAAGTGAATATTTGGGATAAAAGGACTGAAGTTTCACTCTAGCAGATCCAACCCAGGTAAGAAGGTCTCAGAGGGAATCCTGAAATAATCTATTGGGAGTTTAACTCAGGTATTGATAGACAAATGTTAGAGGAATGTCTGAGTCAATTGTTGCTTACCGGTAGAGTCTAGTCTGTTAATATCATAAACTGCCTGGCTGTGAAACATCCAGAAGTGTCCGTTGTTGCAGGAAAGAAGGCAGGAACAACATGGAACTATCACATGATAACCTACAATGTTCCCACTAAAAAAAAAAGGTAAATATTATTAGGTACCATGTAATACCTAGCTACGATGTAATACCTGGCCATGTAAGCATTTTTATATGCTAATATAAATAGATAGACCATATAAAGACCTCATTTCCTCCTAACAACTTCCATTGCTAGCATCTTTGGGATGGGAGTTACTCTAATAACAGTTACACTTCTACCGTCAAGTGGGAAAATTGTCTTAGTTAAGTGAAATAATACTAACACATTCTCCATTTCTTTGCTAGTATTATTTTATGCATTCTTCCTTCAGAAGCTAGCTTTTAGATGCCATAAGGTTGTGATTTGTTCTGTAAAGCATGCAAAATTGATGTGCTGTACAGACAACACATATTAAATAAACTCAGATCTGTGGATAAAAGGTTTTTGCCATCCCCAGGACTGTGGCAAGTTGGGTTCTTATATGTTCTAGTTCCATGCTAGCACCTAAAAACTGCTTCAACAGATGGAGGAGTAGGAAGACAGCATGAGCCCCTGTAAACCAAACACAAGCTGGGCTGCTCTAATTTTAGTTTCAGTGTTTTTGAAGGAATTCAGAAATAAAGCAAATCCACAGCCTCTAGAGAAAGTTGCAGAAGTTTTTATTGTCTTCAGGATTATCCGCCTAAGTACCTCACTCTTCCACAGATTTTTTGCCAATATAGTCACTACTAAATAGATGAATATCCAGGGAATGTTTAAGGTGGCACTTAAAAAAAAAAATGACAATATGAACTGTTTATACCTTGAGTCATAAAAATTCTTATTATAGCTTATTCCCACCCTGTGAGATGTAGGAGTCAGTCATTTTTGTGAGGCCCTATAAAAAATACTATAAGAGGAACCAGCCCACCTACAATGTCTCCTAATCATAATCTGCCTGAAAGGTAAACAAATGAAAGCGAAACTTGTTGGACTAGAACTGACAGTTATTTATAAGACTATATTGCAAGCGTAAATTCTATGGCTTTAATTACCACCCATATTCATTCAACCATTCATTCACTCATCCAACTAATGTTTATTGAGCATCTACTATGTGTCAGGTATTGTTCCAGGTGCTAGGAATACAGCAGCGGACAAGGTCCTTGTTCTTATGGAGCTAAATTTTTTGTGTGTGTGTGAGGCAGATCGGCCCTGAGCTAACATCCATGCCAATCCTCCTCTTTTTTTTTGTCTTTTGCTGAGGGAGACTGGCCCTGGGCTAACATCCATGCCCATCTTCCTCCACTTTATATGGGACGCCACCACAGCATGGCCTGAGGAGTGGTGCATCGGTGCGCACCTGGGATCCGAACCCGGGCTGCCAGCAGCGGAGCACGCGCACTTAATCACTATGCCATGGGGCCGGCCCCTGGAGCTAACTTTCTAGTAGGGACACATCAGACCATTTTGCTTCCTTCAATGGCTTCTCATTGGCCAAAAATGAAAATAAAAAAAACCTTTCATACCAAGGTCTAGATCTGCGCTATTTAAAATGTGGTTATTGAGCACTTGAAATTCAGCTAGCATGAACTGCAATGTGCTGTAAGTATAAAGCATACACCACATTTCAAAGACTAAGAGTAAAAAAGAGAATGTAAAATATTTCATTAATAATTTTTTATGTGGCCGGCCCTGTGGCTTGGCAGTTAAGTGCGCGCGCTCCGCTACTGGTGGCCAGGGTTCGGATCCCAGGCGTGAACCGAGGCACCGCTTCTCCGGCCATGCTGAGGCCGAGTCCCACATACAGCAACTAGAAGGATGTGCAGCTATGACATACAACTATCTACTGGGGCTTTGGGGGGAAAAAAATAAATAAATAAAATCTTTAAAAAAAATAATAATTTTTTATGTTAGTTATATGTTGACACGATAATATTTTGGATATATTGGGTTAAATAAAATATGATTAAAATTAATTTCACCTGTTTCTTTTTATTTTTTAAAATGCGGTTACTAGAACATTTTAAATTACACATGTGGCTTGCATATTTCTATTAAACAATGCCGCTCTAGATTATCTGGGTTCTTACTACATCTCCAATCTACCCTCCCCCAATGCTCACAATGTTTCAGCCACACTGGCCATCATCTTTTTATTCCTTAAGTTTAAACATGTTATTCCTTAAGAAGAAACATGTTAAGTTTCTTCTCACCTTGTGTTCTCTGCACTTGCTATTCCCTCTGCCTGGAACATTCTTCCTCTGTCTCCTTCTCATCTTTTAGGATTCAACTCCAATGTTACCTTCTCATGAGAAGGCTTCCCTGACCACGCTATCTAAAATAGCTCCTACCCACTCTCCCAACCTCTATTATTCTTTTATTTATTTATTTTTTGTGAGGAAGATCAGCCCTGAGCTAACATCCATGCCAATCCTCCTCTTTTTGCTGA